CATTGAATATGAGCGTTTCTAACTATAAATCTAAGTAAGTCATACTGCTCTACAATATATTAAACTTAAATGTTTAATAAAAGAAAAATCACGTGAAAGTTTTACTCAAAGATCTAAAACACAGTAAACTATAATCAAGGATTTTTTACTTATATTGTAGCTATAACTAATTGGATATTTGTTACGGAATATAATTTGAAAAAAATTATCGACATTTAACGAAATATGATAAACCTCGCAGCGAATAAGAAAATTATTTAAATTCAATTGTAATTTTAAACAACCTTAAAGATCACATGATTATAAAGTATAAATTAAAACGATCCGCAAAAAAAATATGTTGATAGTAATTAAAAACCAAGTTTACATCGTTAAAAAAATAACAAAAATAGTAAAGGAGATAAACGAGACTACCTACGGTTTTTATTAGACGCGTACACTCGAGCGACGGGCAAACATTTACTTGAGAATAAATGAAATAACTGACGAATATAGATGTTCGTGTTGAGAGCAAGTCCAGTCGATTTTGATCTGATTCGAACTCGATTGCGGTAAACAGAAAAATTAAAGTGTGAATCGGATAAGAAGCCGCGCGTGTACAAATCATTGACGAACAGCATTCGCGGCGTTAACGTGTTTGTCAACGATTGTCACGCCGATATTGGAATGCAAATCTGTTACTCGGACCAGGGCTTATTTTAAGGTTTGTTTTAGAAGTACGAAAACCTTAAAACTCAACCCATAATCACAAAAATATTACTCCCTGTGTATGAATATAGTAAGAAATTTTATTTGTATATAAAATTTTAAACTCTGCGTTTTTTGAATTGGAGCTGCGCATTTTTCATTTAGAGTTACGCAAAATATGTTATATGTTCAAACACACGTTGAAATAAGCCCGGGTTCGGACCGAGTTTGCGCTGTGCCAAAAGCGCACGTGCAACCGCCAACGGTAATCTTATCAAAGCTGAAATATTAGTTTTCCCCAACGTCGCATTGTTCGCGTCAATCAGATCTTCTATCGATTCGCATCGCGCAGTCGAGTAAACATTATTATTTTGCAGGAGACCCGTAAACAGTCACATATTAGTCGTGCACGCACCCCGAGTGTAAACCCATACAATACGTTCTAATTGTATCGCACCTCCGAGTGCATACGACCTACTAACAGTCTTAGTGGCTGATCCAGGGGCAAGTGGAAGGGTTTTATGGGTATCTGGCTAAAATAGCGAAACAATAACCACGAATTTAAGAATAGCGAAAATATACAATTAGGTATTTAGTGATAATAATTTTGAAAAAAACAACTATGCATCTAGTGAAAAATTGTATACTTTGCCATTTACAAAGTTATTATTATCATTAGTACTGATACAAGTTATAATATTATAATTTGTAATTAACGAATGAAGTCTTTCAGCACAGTCCTTGAACTTATAGTTTTATCTCTGATTGTTCTTCAGAATCATGCTGTTCTCGTTTTGATTCTTCTAAATTTCGAAGTCTCTCTATTAAATTAATAAATTTTCATATAGTATTGGCTTCCACCTAAAAAATATTTATTATATTATTAAAAATACTAATTATTAATAAAATAATTTAAAGTTGTATAAGTTTTGAAACTTATCCAAGTACTAAATTAAAATTTATAGTATTCAAAATAGAAATAACAAAAAACTGCAGTTTCGCTATTATGCATGATCGTTAATTTTAAAATTCGCAATAATCAACTCGCGATTCTTATATTCACAGTTAATTATTTCGCTATTTTGACCTAGAACCGGTTTCAGGTCGGCTTACTCGCGTTTGATGTTTGTCGACAACGTTGGTCTCTCAAACGCTTTTGTTCTTCATGCGTGTCGATTATGGATCGAAGTTAATTCTAGATCAATGCAAATGATTCGGTCGCCACCCTCCGAGTGACACCACTTGTCTCGTTTTACAGTACAGTAAAACATCCCTATACCAGACCCATGTATGACGGAATCCTCCATGAGATATAATTTATGTTGATCATTTTTTATTATTATTTATTTTATTTATTGAGCATAATTCAAACTAAAACAATTTTACGCAAAACATAGTTTTATATACTATGTATATTTATAGTCAGTTACCTTCGAGCTAATGCCTGCACGAAGGCGAGAGTTCTGATCGAATAATTCATTTTTTAATACGTGTAAGCTGAATTTAATTTAAATACAATGAAAAATAACTATAGCAAAGTGAATTAATAAAATGTATATAATATAAATCTTAACGGCAATGAACAATTTATCCTATTATTTATGACATTTACTATGTTCGAAATTAATCGCAACGATATTAACAACAATCCGTGTAAAACTAATGGTATTGTAAAAGTCATGAGAATTCATTTGAAATTTAATATTAATAAAGATAAGAAACTTAACATAAAGAATAATGTTTTCAACGATAATTACGAGCAAACTTAAAACCTCGTATTATGCAATCATATTGTGTTTTTCCATTGCAACACATACATTTATAATCCAGTTTCAGCCTCAATAAGCGGCTCTTTGAAATAGCCCTACCCGCAATACTCTAACCACTGATCCACCTCACCACCCCCTTGGACGGCATTAGTTATCGACGACAAACTTGACTTTGCAAATCGACGCTGGTCCGACCAGCGTTACTCTTTCGCGCGACCCAAAACTTGTTCGATTCGCAAGGAACGTGAACGGATTTCACGGATTGATGTTTCCGTTTTTTACCCGTTTACCGCGTGTGATAACTCCGGTTCGTACTATAAATCGAAACACTGCTGTGTAATGTTGTGTGTTATTTTTTTTTTCTGTAACCGTCGAAATCCCCGACGAAATCCTCGACGTTGACTGTTTCTTAATGGTATTTTCGTATTTTTTTTCCCTTTTTATTTTTCTTGTTTCCTCTTAACCGAATAAATCACCATTCTCGTGAGACATACAATGGTAGAGCACACGTAGTTACGGATTACGGCCACCACGACATGCGTATAGTTTCTATATGCTTGAAATCCCGCGGGACACACGTGGATAATATTATACACGAACGGTGCTCCAAATGAAAAGGAATAAGTAAATATACAAAAAAAAAAAAAAAAAAGAGAGAAAACGTCTATAATATTCAAAATTTGACATTTGTTCTTTAACTGTTCTTTAACATAGGTTTTCTTTAAACTAAAAATATTTGATTGATCTCAGACTTATATAAGTCCAGTAAGTGACTTATTTCTTTAGGACAGTATATATTTATTTGGACATATTCTCTTTTGCACATAACATATTACTTTTGGGCACCATTTAATTTGAATTTTTCCCTATCACTCACAAAATATAATATATTCCTTTGGGTAACTTTTTTTTTTTGATATACGTCCTTTTTCTCGGTATATCATTAATATTATTAGAATTATATTATACAAATAAGTAGAAGATAAACAATTCGGTCAAAAGTGGTATATTATATCGACTTGTTCTTATTAGTACATAAGTATAAATAAGACGACTTATTTCCCTTTTCTCATAAGTTTTATAGACAAACAATTCACTCACTTGGACTCACCTAGGATATATATTATTTTATTTTGGAGCAATCACTAATCCTAATCTAAATAATATATAGTTCAAAAACGACTTAATCGTCGTACATTTATATGATATTCATTTATATGTATCTCAATTATTAATATCAACAGATTAAAGGAAATAAAATATAGACTGAGTAACCAAAAATTGGAAATGTATACATTCAGTTCAAAACTGTTTTGAGCCTTAAAAATGCGATTTTCCGAAAATACTTTTAAATTCCAAATTTTTATAGTGTATCGGTATAACTGATATGTCAGATTTCAAGTTCATACGTTTTATTGTTTTCGATCAAATATGTATCGATCAGTGGATGAGCTAGTTGTAATTCAATTTTATATAAATTTATACAGGGTGTTTCTAAAATGGACGAGAACACTAGTATATGTGTACTCACTGTGATGGTACTATAAAGATATTTTTAATTTTTTTTTATTTGCAAAATTTTGATTCAAATTATTTTCAGAATATTATTTTAAATTGAAAAATAAACACAGTAGTATATCTTTCTGTAAAATTATCTTACGAATTGAGTTGTCACATCATTTTTACCGATTAAAAAAAAAAAAAAAAAAAAAAAAAATGATGAAATAATAAAAAAAATTAAAGTTAGCAGAGTTTTAAACGATCAAATGTATTGCCATTAATTTAAATCGCATGTTTTAATAGTGAAATATAGTATATTTATCGGTAATAACATAATTTAGAGGTAAAAAAAATTAACTACTTAAGTGTTTAGACTGAAATTTCAATTTTAAATATCACAGTAGCATAATTATTTTGACTCGATAAGATAAACATTTTATTTTTTACTTAATATTAGTGCAATTTTATACTTTCATCGTTAATATTGAATTTATCACACTTCCTACTAAAGAGTTGATGACTCGAGCGTGAAAAATTTAAAATAAGCACTATAACGGTGTGACGCCTCGTATAATTTTGCAAAAAACACAACCAAAGTGTTAATTTCTACGTTTAAATAATTTAAATAAACCAAGATTTTGAAGGCAGAAGGAAAACTTGAAAAAGAAAAACTTCATTGTGCCATCACAGTGAGTACACGTATATTGGTGACCTGGTCCATTTCAGAAACACGCTGACGTGTACATATAGATTAACCTACAATATTTTCGATCCACATGGATATCAATAATCTACAAGGATGAGCGATGAAAAAAATCGGTAAAATACGTTCTCTGTGCGGTCTCCGTCTGTACAACACTATAGCTGCAACGTGTTGTAAATCATTTTTCGAACGGACTGCACAACGACGGCGGACCCGATGTGGTTCTAGTACTTACACGCGTAAAAACTACTGGCGAATTCTTTCGAGTCCTACCCCCCCCCTCAACGCACGATGTTACCGGTGACGTAATGATGAATTGTGCGTTCGAAATCTGTCCGCAGGTGGTGAAAATGATGATCGTAGTGGTGACGATTTTCGCCATATGTTGGCTGCCGTATCATATATACTTCATCGTCACCTCTCACATGCCGGAATTGACCACGGAGCCATACATACAAGACGTGTACTTGGCGTTCTACTGGCTAGCAATGTCCAATTCCATGCATAATCCTATCGTCTACTGCTGGATGAACTCAAGGTAAGCATAGGGGAAGTTTTTTTCTTTTTTTTTTTTAACATTATCGTTCGTTTTCCGTTACCCTGGTGCCGTTCACTTTTGGCTTTGCTGAGATCCGAGGGCGGTGGTACGAACCCTATTAGTTTTTCGACTCGCACGGTAAGAGGGATATTATGTACGTCTATCGCCTGAGCCCTGGGGCGGACCGGGTGTAGAGAGGCCCGGTATGACTGTTATCATCATAGTTCGACCAATAAACATTTTTTAGTCGACTAGTGTTCGACTCATCCTCGGTTCTGATATTCTAACAATAAACGGATGTTGTTTTACTGTTCATATTTAACGTTAAATTTCGATTAAGAGTATATTTATTATTGTTATTATAACGGTACTGTCAAGGGTTTCTTCGCCTCCTCGCCTCTACACACACCTGTCCAAACGCTGTACGTTTGAAACCGTTCACGATTAATATTATTACGACCGCTTGCGATCCACTGCGAAACGCGCAGACAGTGTACACCTTATGTTTATGTTCAATGTACACGTAATTATAATTGTCACGTGTAATACATAACTTCAGTGGTGGTCGTATGATAAGTCATTCGTTTTCATTCAATATGTTTTTGCGAAAACCTCTTGAAATTTGCTTTCGACTCGGATTGAGAACGTTCAAAAATCGACACGATATATACGTATTTCAGTGAAATAAACTGTATCGTGAGATCTATATATGTGTATATAATTACACGTCTGTTGGTGAAAACTACGATCAGAAAATATTACGACGTTGCTCATTCCATCTGGATTTGAAGATAAAAAAATGTCTTATAGGAGGGGGAAAAAAATGTGAACGTCAAGCACATAAAATAACCCGAAGGGAAATTAACTTCGATATGAAATACATGCTAAGCAAATGGAGAGATGAATACGGCAGCCGGGTACAGCCGGGTATATATCTGATTTACGGTAGTATATTACTGCCAGTGTTATACAGAGATAAATTATCTAGATAAGATGACACATAATTGATATATGACTAAATAAGATAAATGTATAGCATTTAAAATATTTATTTAGATAATATATAAAACATAATCACATTTATATAGTTAAAAAAGACGAATAATTAATATTAAATACTGTAGAACCGAGGCTAGCAATAATACGAGTATTTTGTCTCAATAAATTTTTGGTAGAACCCGAATATTCGGGTGGGTTCATTTCCCTCCAAAAATGAGATACCGTTTTCCTCTATAGTCCATTTTCCTCAAAAAAAATAAATAAAAATAATTCTTGACCATTTTCATCTACTTTCCATTTTCCGCCAAAAAATAAAATAATAAAATCATCAATCGTTGATCGGTCTCATCAAAATTTGAACAGTTGACAGAACTTTGTTCTAATTCCTTAAGTATTACTTTTTTTGGCTGTGAGAATAAATAGTCAATTGCTTTTCGCTTACATGCATAATTCACTATTTGTCGATTTATTTTTTTTTTTTTTTTTTGGTGGTGATTATGTAAATTTTTGTATAATTCATCGGCTATTATTTCTTCAATTTTATTTATATATATATATATATAACTGCTTGACAAGTAGTTAAACAATATCGCCGACGTGATAATCCAGATTCTGATTTTAATTTATAAGCTAAAAAATATTTTTTACTATTACGAATTATCAAACGTTTTCCTCGAGAACTTTCAATAAACGTCGCTCTTTCAGACAATGTTAAAAATTAAAATTTTATAAATTCATAAAAACTATAAAACACACTACAGACACTATTGGACGTACAGTAAGCTACTAAAAATATAGTATAGAGTATATCGTATATTTGTGTGTCTGTCTCACTCAATATGTATAATAATAATAATCAGTGATAAATTATGATACACATTATAACAATATAAGTATATATGTATATGCCCATATGTTATATGTAAGTATCTTTATTAATCGTAATCAAAGTTACAATATTAAATTATCGACTGTTATAAACTGCGAGTATTGACGGACACTTGAAATAGCATTTTTTCCAAGCCAATAAAAACGTGACCAACCTTTTTTTTTTCGGGGGAAAATAGACAGTGAAGGAAAACGATATCTCATTTTCGGAGGAAAATGGCTACAGCCGAATATTTACCTACCTACTTAGAGGAGTTTTAATAATAAACTGACGTTTTATGACCAACGATTGAAATTACCTTGAGAAATTACTATGTAATACGTATTTTTTTTTTTTCATCAATCGTATAGATTTTGAATATCTAATTCACATTCGCCTTTAGATGGCCCAGAATAGTTGGTTTTAAATTTTTAAAGTGTCATTTAATAAATTATAATCATTTCGTAAATATTTTTATTTTGAATCGATGCTTCAGTTACATAATGGTTATTGAGCGTAGTGATTGTTTAGGATTTAAAATAATCTTATTTCAACAATTTCAAAAAGTATTGACCATAAATGATCAAGGAATAATTATCTGGATAATGTACAACACTGATTACTGCACGCACGTTCCGAAGTTTCCAATGGATACCGAGTCATGAAATCGAAATGCATGTACACGTCACGAAATCTCTAGATCACTGTGGTGAATTAAAACTGACGAATCGAACACCGTTCGTTTGTTCACCGTGAACGTGCGTAAAAGTAACACGTCATCGCGAATGGGTAGTGTGCGTGCGTGCGATTGCGCTAAAGTTTCGCCGTTAAATATTAAACATAACAGCTTTGACATAAATTTTTCTACGTAATTCAAACGTAATTTCCTGCTTATTTATTTATTTATTATTATTGTAATTTATGTTTTTTTTTTTCATTTCCGTACTGGGACTCAGACGATGTTGCAGTTTATTCGTTCGAATAACGAAATCTGTTTTATTCCTGTGTACCAAGAGTTCACGACTAATAAAATAATGCAACAATAAAACCGATGATAAATTTTTACTCGAGTGCGAGATGAAAAAAAAAAATACAAAAACATTCACACGTTTAATGTGCATACATACTACAGAAATCGTCTCCGCGAGTGGCATCATACGTAGTTTAGTCAGTATCAACAGAACAACCAAGAAAACTGTCGACTCTAGATTAACTTTAAGTTTCAATTAGTGAACATGATTTTTGGTTGACCCCGATAAATTAAGCAAATTTTGAGTTTACGTAGAGCTAAATTTTAATTTCTTATTCGTTAAATTTTTTCTGTTTGAAATACGTGATAACCAATTACTTTTACGAACGTCAACGATGATTTCATTTACGTTTTAATCTTTTTACTCGTTTGTTAGTTTGTTATTTGATTATTTTACAACGTAACAAGTATTATAAATTATAATCCCTAATATATTATGTTACTGTCTTTGTTTAAATACCCAATTGCGCCCTCAAATGTCAAATTTTACCTGTAAGGAATTATATTATGTATTATTCACCTTAATTTACACCAATGAAACAAACATAGGCAAACCATTGTATAATTATCAAACCAAAACGGTAGTAAAAACCAAAATAAATGATAATAATCTGACTAGAAAGATAAGAAAAAAAGAAGACTAAAAATTTAAATCCAGTCTTAATATAAAACAAAATATTTGATGTAATTTTATTTAAATATGAAATAGTTCTTAAACACAATAATATCTGTATTTCTTTACTCTGAATAAAATACGTACCGTTTGAATTTAATTCAAATATATTTGTACATAAACCTATTTATCATTAAAACAAATATAAAACCATATATTATTTTTATTAGCATACGAACTTTTCCAAATAAGTACATAACACTAGAATAAAATAAACATTTAAAAAATTGAATGATCTTACAACGAAAAATGTTACCCAATAATTTATATCATATAAAAGATCATATATCGTTCTCTAGAAGTGTAATAGTGGATAACAAAAACGTTTATCGAATAACATTATGAACCGTACGACCAAATATATTGCTTTATGTATTTGATTATTTAGTGCAGAAACATAATTTAAAATATATTGCGATTGTCACTATTTATTTTAACGTTCGGTATTACACAACACCGAATATCTAACTTGACCTAACTTGAATTTTTGAACTCTTGTTCGTGAATAATTATTCTGCGAGTCTTTTTTTTTTTATGTATATAAATATATCTGATACCCCGATATAGGCTTAGATACACCTTAGTTAAAGTATAAAGCAATAATATTCACAGAAATATTCTTGTCGTATAAGAACAATTTGCTGCTCGAATTCCTCGCTACCTTATTTTGAGAAAGGAAGAAATGTGGAGGATATATTATTTATTTATCATTTTCTTACGAATACGAATTGGTTCTACGCAAAATAACGACAGACATATTAAACTACTGTTTTCTTATGTAATGCACAAGTGTAAAAATTTACATCAACCGAGTAGTTATGATGAATTGTGTTCAAAATATGAATTGCACGTGATACAACAACGTGTTTATAGCACAAAGACACACATTAACATTGTATGGTTTTATTAAATTATTACTCAAAGGTTTAGGTTCAGAATTTCGTAACAAATGTGATAATATACATGTATTAACGCGCACACTCGTCGGTGTATTTTAGTATAATCTTTTGTTTGTCTTTTGAAAAGTTCACAAAACTCGCTCTCTGCTAAACCAAATGCACCCTTTTAATTTTGCATGAGTACACAAAAACACGCGCACGCGTGCACATATAAAATCCTTAACATTTTTAAATCGTCTCTCGATAATTTTCTTTAACGTATTATTCCGTTCACGCGGTTTTTATCAACCCGACCGCTCTGTTTCGGCGTCATGGTTTTTATTTCTTATTCTGTTACCCATCTTCGGCTAAATGCGTAAACATTAATCACGTGTGATCCCGCAGACGTTTCGAGAAGCAAAACAAAAAAAAAGAAAATAAATTAGAAACGTTTTTTTTTATCTCTTTCGTTCGCGATGAACATACAACGCGCGAACATGCAGATTTTACGAATCGGATTCTCCGCAGGGTTTAACCATCGAAACCGGTGAA